GTAGTTTGCTGTCTGCTTGATTTTCAGTTTACATGTTGTTTATTGCTTGACTATTGTTTGTTCATTCCCAAAGTCTTTGAACCCATCCCTGACACTCTCTCCTCTCAGATTTATCCAACCACCTCCACGGCAATAAGCCAATTCTCTCATTCATTGAACTGAGGTATTTCTCGGCTTAAAATTGGACAACCTTGCCCAGACGAAAAAGTCTTATCGTATCATCGTCGCATGAAATCGCGGAAGATGACCACCGGGACAAACGAGGACGTAATGGACATCAATCACCGCGCATGGGCAACGTCAGAGACAAGTCCTCGGAAGTGTTCCTCTGAGCTGATAGGGGTTCTTCGGGCCAGGGACCGGCTAAGTCGTCGGGAGTGGGGCCTTCGGGGGTGTTGAGTCGGGGCTCATTAGCCGCCGGGAAACCTCGGCCTGTGATCCAGCGAGGCTCATGACGTTTTGGGTCGAGTTGAATGTGAAAATTCAAGGCATGAGCATGTGGGACTGGGCGAACAACACAAAACAGGTGATAGAGGAAGAACAATAAGACAAGGTGTGTGAATGAGAGAATGGTTGTGACCTGTAAAATGGGATATTTCTATACCCAAGTAATGTATTGCAGTGCAGTGTAGTCTTTCATACAGCAAATCTGTCGCTAGGTCGTGAGATAAATGTTGGATCCTGATGAAAGCCAACCTGGTGAATTTTCCTTTCGAACAATAATCCCAAGCAGCAAGATGGTATTCCTTTAAACGCCGGTCCAATGCAGTATTCCAAGGCTTTAGGTGGTCGTGAAAGCCGAACCAGTAAACTCCGACATATCTCTGGGGGAGGTATCGCCGTCGTCGCTTCAAGCAAATAAAATGAGAGAAGTGTGTTGTTTGTAGTAAAGCCCGACTTTGGTGTTTTGATTTTCCTGTTTTTCTTTGTTTCTTCCTTGGATGGATTCATTTATCGTTTCTCGTAATATTGAACGGCCTTTTCGAGTTCGTCGAGACTTGATCGATCGCCGTACATATTCATGAGAGCCTCATTTCGCTCTCGGTATGCTGCATTCTCGCGCTCCATGGCTTCCATCTGAGCGATGCGTCGCCTTTGGGCCATCTCGAGTGATAGCTTTGCTCCGTACCCAATAGCCACAACAGCCGCGACGGGCTTGACCCTGTAATTGATGGTCAGCATCCAGTGGTGTCGTGTGACACTAAGTAGTATATGACACTTACAGCTTTCCAAAGGACATTCTCTTCTGGGGACGAAGGTGAGGAACAATGTTGGGATGGATACGGGCGGCAGTGGAAAAGGATTGTCGAGGAACACACATCATTGTGAAGGAGGAAGAGGAGGAGAAGAAGGTTGGTTGTGTGAAGGTTTGTCTCTGTTTAGGACTCGGCAAGGGTTGGCAGGTAAAGCAAGGTAAGTTGGATGTAACTCGGTAGTAGTAATCCGTGCTTGAACTAGTCTAATGATGGGAGGAGGAAACGGGAAAACCGTTGGGGGGAGAATAGAGCGGAGGAGAGTTATTATAAGTTGTCTCTCCTGATAATTGTTTCAAGTGAGAAATGTGCCAGCTGCCTTAGTCTAGGTACCTAGGTAGGTATTCTATGTGTTGCTACGTCAATTGTAGTGCATCTCCGGCTAACTAGAACCCCGGACTTGGACAATGTGTATGTCCCTTGACGAACTGGGGTCATGATCGAACGACAAGACGCCCTGGGGATGCCGGCGATGGGCGATAGCCAGAGAGAATCGAGCCTTGAAGTTCAGACACAGACAGGGCAGTGGAGGCAGTGGGGCGGGGGTGTGAGTGCGCCGCCCCAGAGCAGAGTGGCAGAGATGGAGAGGAGCGGCACAGAAGCCGAACAGCGATCAGGTGCCTGGAAGCCCGACTAAACTTGCCTCTACAGAAGGGGGACCTTAGGGGATGATCCCACTGTAGAAAATGCCCAAAAGCGTAAAGGTACTAACTAGCACGCACACACGCTCTGATGGTGAAGTGGGGAAAGCTGTGGATGGAGCGGGAGTGGGCGTTTAGTGTTAGCGTGTGGCACGATGCGGGATGAGCTTGAATTATGGCGGGGTCGGGAAGGATTATATTGGTTGGGGATTTTTTTGGCCTGGTTCTATTTCACTGGCTTGTGCCTCTGTAAAGAGAATTGATGTGTTGTTGATTCCTTGACCGACAAGATTGAGGCCTACTGAGAATGAGCAGGCAAACGCATAGGATTGCTAGAATATGGAAAGCATCCACGACAACTTCGCAATGAAGCCATTATCGGCTGGAGTCGGGTCTCACATTTTCGTCGTCACTGTCACTGCCATTTTCTGGCATCTGCCCCAGATCCAATCTTTTAATTCCACTGAAAAACATTCGACCAAGGTAAGGCTCCCACCAAACAACGGCACCTATCCACGGCCAACAGTGGGGGCATACCCTCTAGTCTCACCACCATGACCTCACCATGGCCTTTCTTGGGGGTTGAGTGGCCTGGTCATTTTTCCAATATTGAGATCCATCATCCATTGATTGTCCCCTGATGATAATGCCGGCTCTTGTGTGAAATCTCCTGTTTTCTCCTTTGGCTGGACCTATTGCTGAGTTGCAGTTGACCCTCTCCCCGATTTTAGTGGCACCACCTCCAGCGTCTCGTGCATCTTGCATCTGCATCTGTTGCACATCTCAACTCGATGAACCTCGCCCCGTCTCCAATACTGCTTTCATTCTCACACCACCAGACACGGCGAGACATGCGTTTCTTCTACTTTCTTTTTCTCAGTATGCGTTTCTGTGTTGCACCCTTTCGGCCACTTTCCGCTTTCCCCGCATCTCCACTCTGTACGGCATCTCTTGTTCACCTTGGCATCAGATTGTGTCTCGTGTTACGGACGGATATAGGAACACGTAGCTGAAGACGCGTCTCTTGGACTGCTGCTGCAGAAGCTGTCTAACGTTAGAACATGGCGCCTGCGCATAAAACCCCTTTGAGTAAAGTAGCGTTTCCCCGCGTCTTCCATTTCACGCGATACAGCACTTGACTAATTCCTTCCTTGGATATAATGCAATACTAGGATCCGCCAATCATACGAATCGGACCCCTCTAGATCCTCGTCTTGCTGCTCAGGCATTCACAAACTGACCGCTCATCAGTCCGTTATAGCAGAGAATCAGACAGGTCAGGTAACAAAAGCTCCTTGCAGCAAAATGTAACAGAACAAATACTCCTCTTTTGCGCCGTATCCGCATCCATTCATTCATTTGCATTGAATGCCCCCTTCCTTGCAACACTTTCAGCCTCATTCGGCTCTGCACCCTAACGTTCGTTATGGAGAATTCAAGGGTCCAGGCTCCATACACGGCCCAGACAATTACCGGCTCCACGCAAGTTCATGCCTCAGTTCTTGTCGGCAACAGCTTCATCTTTCAGGCGCCATATTTCCATTGCCACAATTAGATCATGAAGCTTCTGGATATACCGAGACATGGACCCTTTCTGACCACCTTGTGATAACCTGGCAAGCACACACTGCAACCCCACGTTACAGATCAACATCCTCCACTAGGACGCCTAGGACGCTACCTTTCAACCTTTCTCATTGGCTGATATACTGGTTATACCCCACGATTTGTGAACTCACGGACGCCATCACTTTGTGTGAAATGTCATTTAAAAGGAGAAATCAGCATGCATTTTCTTCTTTTCTTCTCTGAAACGGAGGTTCTGCAGCCGAGTATCTGTCTCCATAATCTGGACCGGTAGTTACATGCCTCTTCCCGGCATGACTAAGCTCAAGACGGCCCGGTTACTATGCAGCAACTGAGCAAACGGCCCTTGCATGTCGAGGCGAGCGGCTTTAAGTTTCAATGGGGGACATCCTCGAACAAGCGCTTCACTCTTCACTTCAATACCAACGCTTTAAGGTTGTAAGCGTGTCGGTTGCAGCATAAAGACCGAGATTATCAAGTTGCATGAGGGATTGGCCAACAAAAGCTAAGCTCTAGGAGGCACCTGCCAGGTATACGACTATCAAGCAAATGTGGATGGGTATCTGTCTAGCAGAATCCTGTGCTGTCCATAATGACATCTCACTGCTACAAGTCGAAATGATATTAAAAACAGGACATGAGAGTATGCGTAATGGAAAATACGAGGTTCCATCAAGTCCCTATCTTCTACCTAGAAGCAAGCTATTCCTTGTACTTTCGACTCCGTGGAAACCTCACAACTAAGCCACCAGCCAATGAGGTGTCACTACCACTGGTTTGACGCATCTTCATCTATCATGAGGTGCACATTGACGAATAAACGATTTTAACAGTCTGGCTATTGCGGGTTCAGCCACACACTTTCCCTAGCCCATTGCAGCTATTTTAAGGTTGTCGAGACTCTTAGGAAAGCCTGTAGGAGATTAGTAGCTATACAAACGATAACTCTTACAGAAGATGATACTTGGGAATGCCGACGGTTATCCATCACTCACACCCTGGTTTGCCAATCAAGGGCTCGAGCGAACATCCCAGTAACTCTATCTTGGGACTGCCATTCAACTGACAATTTTTCAAGTTCCTCTCGTGTCAAAGGTGTCACGCCTGACCCTTGCAACAGATTTGCGCTTTATATACTTGAGTTAGATTGCATAGAGTAACGTACTAGACTGACTGGAATGTCAATCTGTTGCTAGTCTAAGCCCTGGTAAGAAAATTGTGTTGAGAAAATCAGTAGTAGGATAGCATTGTAGGTGCTGAAAATCACAAAGCGGATACGCTGCTCAGGTTTTCACCACAAGAAGACCCAGCTCAGGTTCCATCGATATCAATAACATCTACGCCTTCGCAATTCACCAATAGTTCGCATGTGTTCATGCTACGAAAATAATAAATTTAACTGCCAGAGCATACACATAAGAGATAGACAAAAGTTAAAGTAACCAAAGCAACGCAATTGAACTCAATACACGACATATACGATGCTCTCAGCTCGATTCCAGGACATGTTAGCCGTGGTTCAATGTCTAGTGCTATCTCTCTCGAACAAAGGTTTATAGGCCTGTGCAGGAAGATTACTGATGGGGCGCGGGTAGTCAGTATAGTCTCTGACATCCCGAATAGTTTCGGCAGGCAAACGACTATCAGATCTTTTGAAACAACTGTCAGCTTCATTTACGCGGATCCGGGGAGAGCATATCACTGCTGCAGGTTGAAACTTACACATAATTGGCCATCCTGCCTGTTATTTCATTTCTAGTGCTGATGGGGACCTCTGCACCGTAGTAACTCTTATTGTATTGCTCTGCTGCGTGCCACTGCGCTCTGTTAGAGTGCTCGACGCGGTTGAAGAGATTGTTCTCTGTATTTGTTGTTAGTGCCAGAATGGTTCAGGAGTGGCGTGTAGTTGAGACGTACTGGTTCTATGATCGACATTTCCGCGTGCCAAGTAGGTATTCTGCCTCTCATTGAACTTTGCTTCATGGTGCTTGAACCGAGAGTACGCTTCTAGATCGGGTCCCTCAGGAAGCTGGGACCAATCCTTTGAGTCGGCAATATATTGCTGCTTCGACTCATGAGAAGGATGGACAGGATGGTCAGGCTTAAACCCGGCATATGGGTTGACCGAGTCACCAGTTGAGTTGGCGTTGGAACGCTTGGATGACTTTGAGCCCCAACGCATATTTGCAGAGGGTTATGGGGGTTTTTTTTTTGAGAAGCCTGAAGCAAAGCCTTGGGAGCTATAGTTGGAACAAATCACTGAATTGATCAACGAAAAAAGCAGTCGTGCTAGGAGAAGGTCGATAGGTGCTTGCCTTGTGGTGTCTGACTTGGATAGAAGGGGACTCGAGAGGGGCTACACAAGTATTTATCCTTGAGATTTACTCTTCTAATGTTATCAATTAAGCGCCATGAATGGTATCATGAAGCTATTTGCAGGGGCTTCCGTTTGCGCTGGGCCATGAAACGAATCATCGAGACCTGGTGCCCTGGTCAACCTTTCTGTAGCCATATAATTGACCATACTACCCGGATGTTCTATTTTTAAAGCCCAGACGGTCACGATCCTAGTCAAGAAAACGCAGCAGTTATGAAAGTTGTCCAAAGATCTATTAGAAACAGTTGGGGCCATCGAGGAGTATGCTAGCATTGTCACTCTCTCTCGATATGAAAGTGTTCTGAGGTAATTGGTACGAAGCGCCAGCATAGTATTAGCTTTGGGAACCGCTCACGTAAATACAGTTTTTCTTAAGCGCCCAATGCCACGCGCCATCCTGAAACGTCTGAAGTGAAGAACCAACGCGCAGTTCTCTCGAGCGCTTAATGCTTCCTAGGGACCTTGAGTTGAGGTCCTCGAACATCCCGTCCCAGAACCGATCACTCAATTGTAAGTGAGGGCTTTATTGCAGGTCTCGTTGCTTCTGTATAAATTGTATGTAAATGAGTTATTTCATAGACTACCTAGGAGAGCTTATTGTATTGTGTTGATGTTCCTTCTTGAAGTGTATGTAGTGACTAATAAGGCATGTCCTTCTCCACTTCTTTTTCATCTCCAGTCACTGACTAAGCCACCAGTGTAAAGGAAACACGAGCCCCACCACATCTCAACTGCCCAGCCTGATGTTACCACCTCTGAACTGCAACAGCTATGGAGCCTCCAGGTAAAAAGTTGAAGATGGAACAAGGTAAGGCTATCACCTAGGTGTACCGACAAACACAAATCTTGACGGCGTTGTTGACTCTTCGCAGGGTCTTCGTCGAAGCTGGCTTCCAGTCAGGCAACAACGATAGATTTATTGCCAGCCGAAGAATTGCTCCGCGATCTTCTGCTTGAGTGTCGACAACAGTTGGCGACTCAAGAACTGGATATATGGATAACTGGTGGCTGGGTGAGAGATCGACTTCTGGGTATTCCCTGTTCCGACTTAGATATCGCTCTCAGTACCATGACTGGTGTGCAATTCGGCAGTCTTCTGACAGAGTTCCTCAAGCAGAATGAAGCCTCCTACCGGCAGCGAGCCTTAGACTTGGGAATCGAGTTTAAACAGTTCCATGGCTTTCATTCAACCAAGAAGAACCTCGACAAGTCAAAAAAACTAGAGACTGCTGTTGGAAGAATCTTCGGCTTAGACCTGGATCTTGTCAACTTGCGCAAGGAGGTCTACGACGATAATTGTCGTACTCCAGAAATGGAGTTTGGCACCGCCGAGGAAGATGCTTTCAGACGTGATGCAACTGCCAATGCCTTGTTCTTTGACCTGCAAAATCGAAAGGTTGCTGACTTTACTCGCAGAGGCCTGGATGACCTGTATGCTGGCATAATGCGGACACCACTCGAGCCGAGGCAGACCTTTCTCGACGATCCTTTGCGTGTGCTACGTCTCATTCGCATAGGCAGCAAACTCGGTTTCACTCTTGATCCCGAGGCTCTGAGCTGCATCAAAGAGCACGAAATTCACGTTGCTCTAGACGAGAAGGTTAGCCGAGAGAGAGTAGGGATCGAAGTCTTTAAAATGATGAAGAACCGGAATCCCGAGCTATCTTTTTCCTTAATTCATAAGGCCAATCTTTATGGAACTGTCTTCCTGTCGTTGAGCTCTCCTCTGCATGAGCCCCTTCGTCATCTCCTCCCCCAGGAACCCGACAGGCCATGGCCACCCACTTGGTCTCGGGCAATCAACGCTATCACGATGTTAGCGCAGGATCCAGCACGAGAATTTTGGTCTTTGATGGAATCTGAGAAACAGCAAGACATGTTTTGGGCGATGGTCGTTTATGCTCCGTTAGCAGGGCTAAATACCAAGGATCATAGGCTTGCCGTTGACGAAGCTATAAATGCCCTGAAGGGCACCAGGCAACTTTACAAGCTTATCGAATCGTCGCTAGGGAACTTAGAATCTATTCGATCCACCACAGAACTGGTTGTCAGCTCTATTCCATCCCGGGGCACGATTGGGATGAGGATCCGAAAATGGGGGCTTTTCTGGGGCCTACAGGTTCTTTTCTCGGCTCTTGGAGAGATAGTATACTTGAGGCCACAACCGGAATCTCAAGACCCGAGTCAGGAGGAAATAGATAAGGTTTTACAGAGACACGAAGCCCTGCTCTCATTTGCCCAGAAACAAAGGCTGGATTCGGTTTCGTCGTTGAGGCCAATTTTGGATGGAAACGCCATGAAAAAGGCTCTTGGGGTCAAGCAGGGAGGGAAATTCCTTGCCAGGGCAATTGAAGGCCTGCTTGAATGGCAACTTGATCATGAGGAGGCAGACGAAGCAGCGGCTGAGGCATGGCTTCTTAGCCAGAGGGAAAAACTAGGCCTCCCAATAGCTGAGAGCAAATGAATTCCCCAACTCGGCTATCCGATTCATAGGGTACACATTTCCAGCACCCCGAAAGTTGCCCTTACCATCTTGCAGCTTGGGATTTACGAACAGCATGGTCAGGCTGGCCCTGAACAGAGGCCGAATAAGAGGAGAGAAGGGTTGTTTGAAGCTCAAGTCTTACCCTGAGCCAATACGTATGAGACTTGCAAGTGACAAATAATAGCGTTGATAAAGGAAGGACAAAATATCCAAATTCATCTATGTACCCTTTGTTCCTATTAGATGGTCCACCTCTTGAACCCAACATCTCATAAATGCATCAGTCTATCCTCTGCATATCCTAAAAAATACCTGACAGGCCTATAAACATCATCGCACTGACCAATACCTCCAAGATATCCCACTTCTCGATAAACCTCTTCCTCCGACATGTCTAGCTGATCTCGGGGATAGAAGAACTCGCCATTGACAACCTCGTCTATTCTCTGTAGGGAGTATTTGCGTAACCAATCATCCCAAACTCGATCCCAAACCAAGTTCGTTTCGGTGGTGCTTGTTTGCAAACAGCCTTCTCGCCACATCATCTTGTAGTTGAGAAGCATGGCAGTAAGAAAGTCGGTCGCCGTTCTACTGGAACCGAGCTTCCACGATTCTGAGCGGGAGGTCTTTTGCTGTCGCCATATTTCGCACCAGACGAGAAAGCGTAGGATGAGCTGGCTAGGAGCCCATTGCTTCATGTCTTCGGTTTCAGGGAGGATGTATTCGTGAATGGCATCAACCCTTGCTGCTGTCCTGACCCCAAACATGAGACCCTGGAACACTGGCTGAACCGCAGCCAGAGCTCGACTGAATTGGCGATCAGAGAGTGTGAAGCCCAGCAAGTTGTACCACTCCATGAAGTGAGAGAATGCAACTCGGACAGGGGGAGAATCTACGAAAGACAATATCTCTAGGGCCTTACGCCTCTTGGCCTTGCTGTCCTCAGGGGCAAAGAGCTTCATGACCATGGCATTAGCAAAGTCGTGAAAGTATATATCGGCGTGCAATCCTTGAGAACTTTTCGGGCGGTTCCCGAGGTAGAGAATGGGGTTTGTGAAGATGATGAATTCGTAGTCGCACTGCTCTTTGTTGCACCAGTTGACGGACGGATTTCCTCTCCCTCTGTCAAATTGACGACGAATCAAGCCTCGACGCATGAGTCGTGAGCGGCGGAGAGAGCGAGAGACTTGCCTAGTGTGAATACCACCCGAGCCGTTGTATGGAGTGTTTTCGCATACACGGAGTAGGTACTTGACGCAAACTTCTGCACCAAGCCAGCCTTTGGTGGCTTTCTTCTCTTTAGCAGGCTCAGATCTGTCACGGGGGGCTTCCAGGATGCCTGAGATACAGCCACGAGGCGATAGAGGCGGCCCCTGAGGGTCGGCTGGAGGTTCGATGATATTACTCCCATTCTCCGGTTGCTGAGACCCATCGTGGTGATCATTTGGGGCACCCGACGAGAGGGGATCAGAGTTAACATAAGTAGACGATGGAGATGAAGAGATAACAGGGATAGGACCTGGTAAATTATTTGAGTTCCCCATAATTGAATACAGAAAAGTATTTGACAATATCATCAACAATAGAGGGGAAATGAAGCGACAGAGTCGCGAAACCTCGGGAATGGATGGAAAAACTTATATGAACTCCATTTCCCAACGTTCACTGTACCTTGTAATTGTTAATTCAACACCCAATGCGAACGAAAGCCTGCGAAGCATTGTTCCGAGCTCTTCTCAAAGAACGACGGGGAACAAAGAACGTGGATATGTTCACAAAGGACCCGAGTCTGGTCAGCCCCTAGGTCACTCCAATGTTTCAAAGAACAAGGAGACAGCCAATTATAGAAACTGGCGTAAAATGTGACATGTTTATTTTCATGTTTAAGTAGGCTCAAGTGCAGGCGAGTCACTTCGAGAGCAGATTGGAGTTGATGAACTTGACGTCCAAGTTGCGTCCAGATACCTACCTCCCTTGTAAGAAGTTCGTTTGGCCGTTCAAAATTTATCACCACAAGAACTTCCTGCACTTCTTGCTTCCACATAGACAACGAGTCATATGATCGATGTCGCAACCCGATTCCTCTCCCTCGTGTGAAACCCCATCGACATAATCAAATGTAAGCTCCTCACCCTCAGGTATGTCCTTGATTGCGAACAAGGCAAGATCGTGAATATGCTTGTCAGCATGATCACCCACGCGCGCAAAGATTCGCATGTTGGGGTCGCAAGAATGGTTGACGAATCGCGTCGGGCCAGACATGAATTCGCCGTCTACTTCAAGAGATGGGCCCTTTAGCCGATGGTCGAATGACTCGGGGTCTGTGAATTTGTCGAGAGCGAAGAGGTAAACATCCTTACGCTGAGAGATAGCAGACTGTGAGCGCCGTCGATCGGCTTCGTTGGATGTGATGATCTCACCGAGATATCGGTCGACGAACTGGCCTTTCTTAATTGACACGGGAGATCTCACTCCTATTGTTTTGGTCAGTGAATTGTTTATTAGTCAAAGATGAGAATGACACTCACCCCATCCGCGGTCTGGGGTGCGGAATATCTCCAAGGGAATCGTTCTGCCGCGCTCGACGACGCGATTTGGGCAGTCTATACTACAGGAGCAGCTCTGGTGACACTCGTAGATAGGCATCTTTGAGTTATGGAACTTGGAGCGCAAAAGACCGGCCTTTGCACCGTGGGAGTGGTAAGCATATGCTATCCGCCGAGGCTTTGGTGTGGTTCTCTCCATCTTGTCACCGAAAGCATCGAACTCCTCTTCATCGCTAGAATCGTCGTCTTCTAAGTCGGCGAGACAGTGACAACTTGTGTATTGGCACTCTGAGTCCTTGGCGCAGGAGCAGCCGCTGCGGAAGCTATCGCCAGCTTGCTCAACTCCTTTACCAAGGACGACGTTGTTTATGAATCTAAAGTCACCAGGGAGTACCTCATCGTCTTGTTCGTTAACAACTGTCACTGGGAGTGTTGAGTGAGTCGAAAAAGCGCGAATCTGACACCAGTGACAATTATTGCGCTCTACTTCATAGCCCTGCAGGTTGGATTAGTCATAGCTATAACCGACATGAGATTGGGTGAGTACGTACTTCTTTGCCGTGGAAGTAGAAATGGCGTTCTGTGGCCTTTAGCATTGCAGCCATTGTTGATTGTGCAGTGTTACTAGAGAGGATGGTTTGTTTGTTTTTGGCTCAGAGACGGTGCAATGCTGCGTTGATGGTAAGAAAGTGAGACAAAGAAAACGAAAGGTGGGAAACATGTATTATTGAATGAAATTAAGAGCCGTTGTCTGAGAAGAGTGAAAAGAACACGGATTATTCATCTCTGTCTGGTGTAAAGCAAACATGTCGAGCTTGAAGAGTTGGAGCCCACGGTGAAGCACTGAAACTGGGTTAGTGGGTGCCTGTCAAGTAAAAGCCACATGCTGATTGGCCCCTGCTTCGGTGAATGTCAAGGTGAGTGAGTACCTACACTAGGTATAGAAAACCTGCTGAAGATTCCTCCTGCAAAAATAGGCAGGGTCTGGTCTTGGACATTAAGTCCTACCCACTAACTAAGGGAGTTAGTTATCTGTGAGTAGACAGGTATTCAAGATTAGGTAGATGGCGGTGTTGCACAGTAAACAAGGGCATTCCTGGACATGACCATGGTGTTGCATCTGAGAAGCACGAGATCTATAAGACAAGGTCGTCATTAGTATAGTTAGTTAATCAATCTCTGGGAACCCCTGCCTGGTCTGCTCATACAAAACCCCGCCTACCAACAAGACTCAACTTGGTGATACCTGTACCCTACCTCCAGTAATCTACACCGAGCTACTGATGAATTACCTACCTTATCCTGTGATTACGAGTCCCTCGAGTTTCTTGGCTGAAACCGTAGAGGCACGTACCAAGCTCTCCAGCACATCGTGTGCATCATACTACATAAAAGGCCGCGTCTCCCCCGGTTCTTTGACTGACGACTTGAGCTTAATCTTTCGTCACCTTGACCAGCATCTAGTCTATGTATCTCCCTGTGAATTGATCCCTGCCAGGCCGGGCCATGCAATCAATCAATCAATGATCAGCAAGTCATTGTCTGAACCAGATAAAACAAGCAATTGAATACAGCATTTCACCTCTCACCCCTCTTTTACTCGACCGAGATTCAACTTGATCACCCTGAACCAAATAAAGATTAGCCAACAACAGCGACATTTCTTCTTCGTTGTCTTAGTCTGTTTCCTTTTTTTAAGCTCCAAGTTTGTCCCGCTTCTGCGCCCCCCCCCTGGTCTGCTCTAGCTTGGTCGGGTCTGGCCAGGCCGTGACTTTTGGTGGGAAAGCCCCCAAAAGGAAGAGGCGATAGGTTCGGCGACCCCAGCCAACAAAACTCGGCTCCCGTCTATAACCATTCACATCATACGCATACACATAAACATCCATTATTCTCATACATAATACTTAGTACATCCTTCGTCTTCTCTCTGCGCCTCTTTCGTGCTTCCATCTCCTCAGCGTCCCATCTCCTGCTCCTCTTTCGTTCAGTCAGTCAGTCAATCATTCAACTGCGACATCTTCTACACCCGCCAAATACGCTGCACTATACTACACTGCACTGGCTGTCCTATCTGGTCTGGTCTGATCTCATCTGATAGATCTGCGACCTTACTTTGGCCAGCGATGGCTAGTCACTAAAGTTGGGATCCTCATTCCTTAACAAGACCTTCAATCCACAGGTCAACGGCGATCGTCGCTCACCCCTTGTAGCAAACATGGTCCGGCTCTTCTCTGCTTGCAACATAAACATGTCATCACCTCTAACATTCCACTTCTAGGGCTGCTGCCTCTCTCGTTCTTCGGGTCCCAACTCTCCCTACCCAGGTGGCGCACCCAACGCTTCGTCCCGCGCTATCAATCCTCCCCCGCTGGCACTCCCAGAAGCTGCTCAACCGCAAATCCCCGCCGAAAGACGTCGCCAGCACCGTCGCAGCAATCGTCCCCTGGATCAGCATATCGATAAGCCTTTGCGACGACACGAGTGGACCTCACGCGATCGCACATGGACCAAGAGCGAATTGGTAAAGGAACGAGCTGCCTTCTTTGACACAAGAGTCACCGGCAGGCCCGAGATATGGCAGACTATTCATGCGGCGCTGGCTGTCTTGTGGGATCCAGAAGGCCAGGACGCGCAAGACGACGGATCCAATGGCCTTGCGACGGCTCAGATGATTCTGTCCGCTGCTGAGATCTCTCTACCAACTGGCAACCTCTCCAATGGCGTCTACGACTCTCTAGGAAACTACTATCAATTGCCGGAATGGGTTGTTTGTGATCCGTTGAATGTGCAGGAGGATCGAGAAGACGGCGCAAAGAGCAATCTCTCAAATGCTGGCGACGATACAGCAGCGGATGAAGAACTGAGCGACGAAGAGATGGAGGGCAAGAAACAAGAAAAGGGCAAAGAGGTGGACGATGCCCAAGAGACAGTCAAACTACGAGCCAGGCTCAGTGAGAACGGCCAAGATGTCAATGTCGCCATATATGAGTCGGATACTGTTCGTAGTGTAGCCAAAAAGATTGCTCTCGAGGCTGGCGTAAGTACCTTGCCTATTCTCTGGCGACGGGAGCAAACAGAATGCTAACGACACCCAGCTTGCGTCGACCAAGAAGATCAGGATAGCATACATGGGCAAGATTCTTAAGGACAATCTGTCTCTTACGGCACAAAACTGGCAAACTGGCCATGTCGTCAATGCCCTTGTCTTTGACATTTGATCGTGCCCTGCCCTGCCCTGCTCTACCCTACCGCTATCATATCATCCCAGCGCCAGACAGAAGCAACATGGTCCCTGAACTTTTGTCTTGGCCAAATCCTTCACTCTCATCGTCAACTTATCTCAATGGCAGCTATGCCATCTATTGATCCGCTACGGTCGGCCATTTTTGGACAATACCCTATATCGTTTTTATCCTGCTTTTACCACATCTGTGTCTTTTGGAGTTGGTGGATGCTGCTGGTCTAGCGATGATTTCCCCATCACTTATATTCCTCTCATGTCCCTTCGTGTCGAGATTAATTTTGGACACTATTAACAGCCGTTGTTCATACTATACACGTGCGTATGAGCCCAACAAGGCACCCGACAGGGCACCCAACATAAGTTCGGCAAACCCCTCGCTAATATCACTTTTCCCTGTTCTGAATGAGAAAGCCTGGCTATTCAACCACACTTCGTGATAGCCACTGCCTCTGACTGTGACCCTGTATGAAACCATGTGCCTTTGTAATCAACGTCTACCTAAACCTGCTTACAATGAACTCTACCAGGGACCCATCGCACAACCTTTTGGGGGGAAAACACCCATTAACATGCTCCGACCCTGACCCCCCAACCATCGTCATGAATCTTGCAATGCTGAGATAACCCTTCATGTATAATTAGATCCAGGTGTTTCTACGTATATCAGCCGACCTAAGCTGTGGACCCGATCTTGTTAAGTCCCTTCAAAGAGCCCAAGCTCAGTGCCAAGCCTTGTGATCGACTTCTTATTCTGACGAAACCAGTGATGGGTCCATCCTCGCCCTCCTTCTCAATGCTCAGGTTAGCGAGAGCATCCTCGCCTAAGTCCATGGTTAGCACAATCCAATCATTACCAGGGACTAGAATCACTTACCAAACACACTCCTGGCGTAAAGATTGGCACTCAGGAATTGACAGTCGCCCTTGAGGCTGGCCTCTGGTGTTAGGCAGTTCATATTTGTGCAGGCCATAAGCTGGTCGAGGAAGTCACGTAGCGACTTGGCCTTGGAGTTAATGTTGACCTTGTTCTCCCACTCGAATTCAGTCCACATAGTGCGGAATTGGGTCTCCGTGCAAGTGGCGGGCTGGATGTAGTCCATGATATCGACGTGTAGGTCGTTGAGAATAACGACATTAGTGTCAGTAGAGTGGGCACCGTCATACACGACGTTACCAAAGATGACACCAGTGTCTGTTGATGAGACCTTGATTGTGCATTGCACGTTGTGGAAGTCATGAGGGCCCAGGTTCTGCGTAGTAGGTCGCTCGACAACCTTTAGGTCACCAAGCGTGGCGAACTCGACTGAGAGGTTTTGAAGTGTCTCTGTTGTCTGGTTGACAAGAAGGACATCGAGAACAATGTCGAACTGGTGAACCTTGACATATGCCTCAGCATACACGGGGTCTGAGAATCCGGTCAACTGAACCACACGGCTAAGCTTGGAAGACAGGTCTTCAGCGGTGCCCTCACCACCAGTTGCCCTCTCCAGATCCACCTCGATCTCATCGAGGCCTTCAGTGGTGTTCTTCTTGGCTAGTTGTCGAATTTGAACAACGTCGTCAACCTGCACAGCAGTCTTAGCCTTCTCGAAAGCCTCCTTGGCGGCTCGCTTCTTCTCCTCCACCTGGACCATGGCTCGGAAGGCCTTGCGGGTATCATCCAACCAAACGGTCTCAAGCTCCTTCTTCTGCTCAAACTCGGCCAATGATCGTACACATGACATGATTCGGTCCACAGAGTCCTCATCAATGGGGGCTTTGACAAATTGAGATTGTCCAACTCGAATGATAGAAATCATAATCAGCATGGCCTCAGCTCGGAGGGCGTTAGTTCGAGCCTGATCCGAGGAAATCTCATGATGTCGCATCACAAGCTTGACGAGAGTAGATGATAGAACAGTGGCCAGATAGTAGTCTCCATCAAGAATGAGTTGGCGGAGAGGAGGCTTCTGAGCAGTCTTGACGGCCTCTAACTTGGCAGCTGCTGAAGACTGGCTGGTAAGAGCAGTCTCGGTAGCATATGTGCCATCAGCCAGGACCTTGCGTGAGCCAGATGGCGCGGCCGGCTTCGATGCTCCGTTGATGTGATCGTCGGTTTGCTCCTCGGTGTCATGAGAATCCAATAGACGTTGCTCCGATGCGAGAATGGGCATCTCGCCGAGACTAGCTCGTATCCTCTTCCAAGCCTCTCGGATGTCTTTCTCTTCAAGAGAGTACTCACCAATGATCCACATGATGCCACGGTACACTTTGCCAGCTCGGACCTCACCCAGGGTGGAGACAAGCCGCTCAATGATGGTAGTACGCAGATTGGGGAACTTTTCAACAACTTCCTTGACAAAGTTGATAACATCGACAGCG